ATGTTCGCATTAAGGCAGAAAATTCAATTAATAAGGAATAAGTTTCCCAGGACCTGTTAACAAATATCAAACCGCTCATAAAAACAAATATAGTGAGCAGTAAACCGATTTTTATGGTATACCAGTGCACTCTTTAGAAAAAGCTGCAATATAGCTGCAGCTGATGTGCAAACATAGTGGCCTCTACATCACAGCGCTTGAGTGAAAATTATACAGCTCTGTAACGATTTCGCTAAATGAGCATCAGGATTGAAAAACAGACCAAAAAAAGAGGAATTAAAATGAGCATTTCTGTATGAAAATAACTCAACAAAGTTGGTGCTGTGAGATGGAAACATTAAAAAGTTAATAAAAAACGTATAAGAACTTCCCGTAAAAAAATTAAAATTATCTTCAAATTTACGGAACAAGAGATTTTATGAATTTATAACGAGTTGCATTATTAGGAAAATTATTACAAACCAACGACTCATTCAGGTCACTACAAAAGAGGTAACCGATTATAATTCCACCACAATTACCAACCAGATTTACAAATGACAATGACGCAGGATTATTACAAAAAATCCTCAAAAGCTTTTCCAATAAACAAATAGAGTACCCTCTGGGAATTCATTAAACACTGACAACTACAATGCAAAAACGACTTGATTATGAGCAGTCAAACTATGCCTCACAGCTGAGATTGACGAGACTGACAAAAATTAAGTGGCAACTATCCTAGAATAGCCGAAACACCAAAACATGGCACTGGAAAAAAGCCGCTTTTTCAAGTACTCTTCGTGTTGCAAGTCGTTCAAACGGAAATCCCAGAAGCGCCGACAAATTGATCGAAATTCGACGTCTTCGCTCAGCATCTTCATGTTTTCCTCAAAACAGTTTCATCATTTGGCTCAAAAAAAAAAAAAAAAACCGCACCGCAGTTAAGAACAACGTCTGAGCGGTGAAATAAAATGAAGGCCATACATGGGATTGACACAAAAATATTCGGAGAAACGAGGGGGGCGCCGAGTCGAACGTGATCGCGATACAACGAAATAGTAGTGGTGCGCCTCGTATTGGTACCGCTTGCCGCTTGTCGCCGTGTCGGCGTCCGCCCAATGCCTTTGTTTAGTGTTGACTACTGAAGGCCTATGCAGAATGGTCGTCGATTACGTGGGTGACAGAGAAGCTTCAGCTAAGCTTTGTATTCGCAACAACTGCCAATTCTCCAGAAAATCTTTAACTACTTTTAACCATCAACCATCTCAGTGTTCTTCCAACTGAGATTTGTTAGTGGATAACCTGCCAAGAAAACATGGTTGGTGGCAGAAAATTTCGTCTAGTGATTCGCGCTTATTATTGGCGATGAACGACAGACAAATACAAAGAAACATTTTTAGCCGTTGAAAGTGTTACAGTTAAAGAAAAAAGTGAAGAAGAGCTGTTGGACATTAATCTGTTGTTATTGGTGACTGAAGAATTCTTTTCTGTGTTTAAATTTATGCTACAGTGAATCGGCTAAAATTCAAAGTTAGGCATCGAGTAGAGGTGTTAAATTTAAATTTGAACTAATACATTGGAAAATAAAAAAGACGGGAAAAGGAAATGAATCACGAAGTTGACGAAGATGACATGAAGTGGAACAGAGATCTGCAAATTAAAGGCTCTAACCTAAGCATCAAATGACTAATTCAATTAGTTTTTCCTCTTTTTTTTTTTTTTGTTATCCCTTCGAATGTCAACGTCGATATAATAAGGGATGGAACAAATGGTGCAAAAACAAAGGATTTTTCAGTAACTCATAAAGCCAATTTCTTGAGAGTTTTTCGTCGGAAAACCGACTGGAGCAGTAGGGCGATGAAAATGGATAGATGCCGTTACGGTGTCAGTGAAAACTCATCGCAAGTAAAATGGTCGCAATGAAACAGCAAAAAGTTTGGACGTTTTTGGAAACAAATTGACTGTAATATTTCCTATTTTTTGCTTTATCTTTTTTCCTTTCTTCACCGGCAGCTGAGTTCTAAAACTCCACTCACTGCCAAATTCCGTACTATGGACGTCTGTTGTGGTGAAATATAAAGCAAGTAACACCGACGAAACCGCTTTGCCAGAAGTTTAAAAGAACATTTCGAAACTTCAATTTACAGTTCATCATTTCATTTTAACAAAAACTATCTTTGACTGTGGATTGTAAACTGGTTCGACAACTTTTCATTCTCTAGTTTCCTTCTTGTCAACTATTTTGATTAGATCTTACTTCATCAATTTTTTTTTCAGTTTTTATGAAGTCGTTTTAATCAACAAAGTGTGTTTTTTTACTTTAAA